ATGAAGCATTCATGAATATCCAAGACATATACATGGTATATTACTATGTTGACATTTTTCATCTTTCAACAAAAACTCCTCTAATTATGATAGTACGATTGCTTTAATATCTGGTGGAAAGACATTTATATACGCTACAAGTTTTAACAGTGGCGGTACTAACATTAAACATTAAATTTCATCAGGCAAAAATATTGGAGAAAATGTTCAGGTAACTCTTTAAGGAATGTGGCGACGACCTAGGACCCTACTTTCCCATTTCTGCAGCTTAATGGGTCGAATAGCCGTTGTCATTGTGTGCCCACTTAGTTGACATACTTTTTAAATTCTTGATATATGACATTACAAGGTAAAATTAAAATACAGTTTCAAATATGGTATGGAATCTGGCCTAATGTCTTCAGAAATAACCACGTGGCCATTTGTTCTTCTTCTAATGTGGACTTTGGTATATCCCTGATTTTGACATTACTTATTTATTTGACCTTTGATAAGACTGAACATCAGTATAAGTATACTACTTAACTTTTGCACAGCACCATAAATAAATTGTTATATTATCACATATAAAAAAGAGATGTCCTTCCCTTTTTTGAAACTTCTGATTCAGCAATGTTTTTAGATAGTTCCCTGGCATGAATCTGTGTTGACTAATCCGTGTTAATGTTTTCAACTCGTCTAGGTAGCATGGAAAGCATGCACCCTAATAGTTACATGGTATTATTGGGGTTTACAATCACATGTCTTTTGATATACGGTTACATATCCGGCTTATTGGCATTCAATGGCTTTCTTTTTCTACATCTTTCACTTTGATGTGGCAAAAGCTAACATTAGGCGGCATTTGAGAGAAGCAAAGTTATAGTGAGTTGTAGGGATAGTGCATGGGGGGGGGGCTTCCGTCAGGCTCGTGCGGCGCTTGGTGTACACTACACCGTCATCACCAGAGCGCTGCAGAGATACCGGATACGTGGTTCACCATCCAGAAGCCATGCTGGAGATCGGCAAAGGGTCACAACATATCAGGATCGTTTTTGGTCGTTCAGTCACGTCATCAAAGGTTTTCGACAGCAAATCTTCTTTGAAATGATATTGGCCATGCTGCGGGATTGTTACCATGCAAACGTTATGTAGAAGGCTGCATGAAGGTAATTTGCGGTCGAGTAGAGTATCCCCTTGACGTGTCTACTTCGCCAGGCCCATTTGGAATGGTCCATGGAACAAACACGGAGGAACATGTAACACCGAAGACACGTTCTGTTCACTGATTAGTCCAGGTTCTGCATACACTTCACAGATAAGCGTGCTAAATTCTGGAGAAGACGAAGTTAACGGTTTCAGACTGCAAATATTACTGATCATGACCGCTACAGAGAGGGTCAATTATGGTGTTGGGAGGCATCAGCTGGGATGGACGAACCGACCTGGTTGTGCTAAGTTAAGGCACATTGACAGGTCAACGATACATATACGACATCCTAGACAAACAGGATTAGTTTTATGTTTGAGCAGTCAGCAATCAGTTCATTGTAATGGGCGTTGTTGTTCGCCCACACAGAGCCAGGGTGGCCAGGACTACATAGAGAGTGAGTCTATTGTGCGCATTGACTGTTCAGCTCGCTCACCTGACTTAAATCCAATAAAACACATGTGGATCATCTGAACAAACATTTTTTTGTTTAATAATATTCATTGCATAATTGTATAATAAATTCTATTACAACAACATAATTACACAAAATACAAAAGGATTGGGCCAAATGTTTTTGCAACATAATCTTGGCCTCTCCCATCCTAACAAGTCCGGAAACTTAAAGGTGTGATCTTTCAAGAGCAATACAAACAAGCAATTATCATAGTATTGCAAGTAATCCATAAGTCCCCTGCCGGTTAGAATCACAGCAACATTCTTAAGAGTCATTGGCCATTCAATTATGCCATTGAATGAATGAATTATCAAAAGGTCAAGTTTTCTCTGGATGAATAAGTATAATTAATGTTTCAACGTTTCTCTATTTTAAAAGTGATCTCAGGAAACAGTTTTTATGGACAGACAGACAGACGGACTGAAGGACACTCTTAAGTAAATTTGTTAAACATCCTAGATTTATAAACCTTGTCATATTATTATAATGTTGGAGTATGAAGTACATCCTATAAGGAATGAAGAAGTTTGAGTAAAAAAATTCCAATTTCTCAAAAGAAAATCAAGGGGGACATAATTCTGGAAATAGTCTTCCTAGAGTATTTAACCTTCTCACCTATGATTTGTGTGATAAAAAAACATATTTCACCACCTATGATTTGTGTGATAAAAAAAACATATATGTGAAATTTGTTTTTTGATTTCAACTCATTAAAGACCGTTAACAAACCTTATAAAGTTGTATATGAATTCCTTAAACATTGTAATGTTCCGTGCAAGTAGAATATTCAAAGACTAAAATATGTAAATGAGCTATTTATATATTTTCTTACCTTGTCAAGCTAAAAATCCATTTTATCTGAATCAACCAGTGCCAATAAATCCAAATCAGTTCAGGAACGGGAAAATATTCCAAATCAGCCCGAAACGATCAGGCACCGTGAGAATGGTGGACAATGAATGGTCTAAGAAAATAAAATCGAACACCAATATCTTTAATAAAGTCATTACTGTTGAACAGACGTTTTAGTATTGTTTACATGACCTCACAATGAAGCGCAAAACAGCAAGTGGAAAACAATCAAACCAAGAACATTATTTCAAAGAAATTCAATATCGCAAACCAGTTAAATTTCACTTTTATTTTACTATAAATACTCTGTATTTCGCTTGAAAAATACAAAGTTAAATAAAATAAACCAACAAATTTTTTATCAACGTTTTCAAAATTCATTATTCTCAAAATGATTCTGCAAACGGTAGTCTTAGCGACATTTTAGCGAAAAACGATTTAACCACCAAACATATTGTCCAACTATATTTTTGTATCTTAACGTGTTAGAATGGAAATAAATATTAATTCTTGAAAGATAAGCCGTGCATTATTATACTATAATGCACGACTTTTCGTTTAAATGCTTTGTAATTTTATCACTCAGGCCTAACGGCCTTCATTACATTATTATCTTGTTGCGCATTGGTATCTCTAAGGATGTATAGTCCTTAAACACACAAATAAAACAACATGTCTTGTAATATGTAGTTATAAGTATAATTTTTGTATAGGGTTAACGCACGTTTGTCGGTGTTATAACGTATACAGACTACCGAGGAACGGTTGGTGCGAAATACACGTGCGTTGAGGCAATTAAAGCAAAAGATAATTCAAACAGATGCATGATGTAAATTTTACAAACACATACATTGAATCCTTGTGCTTGGACGGTATTAATCAAATTCAACATGTTTTACGTATTCGTTTTATTTTTCCGGGGCCAACAATTTGGGAAACACAAACGTATTATAGACACATTTGCTGCTGAAATGAATTATAGAAACAAAAGCGCTGCTGAAATGTATATAGGCACAAACTTGAAATGTATTATAGAATAATTATTATTAACTTTGAAACAATCATTTATATTTTTGAATTACAATATCAATGTTATCACTACGAATTTAGATTATTAAAGTACTTGTCTATTTACGTCCGTTATTTAATATCATACTTGCTATGTCATTAAAACGTAATTCCCTTTATAATCAAAAAGCATTTTTTTAAGGCACGAATCAAATTCGCATCAATAATATAAATTCATAAAATAATTCCATTTTTAATTTAAATGAAACTGTTTCTGACAGTAAGCATTCAAGTAGGCCAATTATAAGGCTAATGATATCCCCAACATTAATCTTGGCAAACATTTGAAAAAAAAAAGATTTATCCTTGTTACAGAATGTTATGTATGCAAGATTATGATTAAGAGTAACGAGAAAGAAAAGCCAGCAACAAACTTGTAACTATAACAAATTTATTACAGAAAAAATATTTAAGAAAAATCAAAATCACAAATTATGTGTACAAATACCTGAAGTCCAAATAAAAATGTAAAAATTCAAATGTCTAGCCTGATCCTGGAATGATCCCTTTTTGAATAGCACAGTTAAATCCAAGTAAAATCCAACAGCACTTTAGAATAAATTCCCACAATAAAATCCACAAGAATGATTTTAACTATTTTAAAATAATCCAAGCTCTAATAAATCACTTAATATCCAATTTGAATAATACTCCAAATATATTGGTGACTTAAAAAATAACTGATGACTTAAAAGATCACTGATGACTCAAAAGGTCACTGATCACTTCAAAGATAACTGATGACTTAAAAGATAATACGAAAGAAAAATGTCTCCTATATATATTAAGCTAAGAAGTTTCTAGAATAGTCTTTCATTTTCTACAATAATCATAATCTAGCAACTTCAACAATAAAGATCATTCCGGAAATTTCTATCTAATTATAATGCATGAGTTTTCTACAACAGTTAAGAAAGTTCTAGTACATACATGTAGTTTATGTTCTAAAAATAGAACAATGATAATATTTGAAATACCAACTGGTCAGATATAAATTATATACATGTAATATGTTGCATACATAACATTCTGCAAAAAATTTTGTTTGAGTAGTAACGTTTTGTATTAAGTTTCATAAAGCTTAGATTCTGATTGTAGATTGCCCGTTCGTGCATGAAATAACGCATGGAAGGGCGCAAGAGGTCGTTCCCCATTTTAGTAAAGCTGTAACTTCGCAATATGACATATACTATGTCTGTGTGACGTAAAACGCAATCAAATATTCTAATTCTAATAATATTCAGTGAATAATTACTATAAAACATTTTCATTAGATGTTTGCTAGATGTTAGCTAGATTAATTTCTTCATAAACTACATATGCAGCATTTTGAATGATACTTGTATGCTTATCGTACACGCGTATTTATTTTAAGAATCTGTGTAAAAGGCTGCTGATAACACTAATTTAATAATATGGCAGATGTATTGCATTTTGGAGGCTTTTATTTACAGTCAAAGTCGATTTTCGGTTTTACTGGTGTTAGAGCTGTTTTAAAGAGGAAATGGCAATTTATTTAAGAACTCATATTATACGTTTTATTTTGTTTGTATATGGACTGAGAACTGTACATTGTAGTATTGAAGTAGAAAAAGATCAAACGCTATCGAACCGTATACAAGAAGCTTTTACTGAAATGAGGTAAGAACTGTTTTATTTGAGGCTTAAAGCGGACTTCAGTCGTTCTAAAGGTTGAATATGTTTTTTCTAAATGGTTTGGTGGAAAATGAAATTTACCGTCGATAAAATACGAGTACATAAACAATAAGGAAATATGTCGATACCTTGCTCTTAATATGTAAAGCGGACACGATTTTCTGCTTTTAGAAAGAAACGTCACTGACGCGTTATGAATGCTCTAATGACGCTGTTTTGAAAAAAGCTTAACAGGAATATAAAAGAGTTATGATTTTGAATGATATATAACTACAAAATGCAATAGTTTATTATAACAGCGTTTCGGAGATCCATTTAAACCTTACCATTTCTATTTTTAATCAAGATTTAAAAAACGAACAAAAAATGTATTCTCGTTATGCTCCAACTGTTAATTCGTATTATGTAATTTTTACAAATTTACAAATACTTAAGTCTCGCAAAATATGTATTTTTGTTGTTAATGCAGTTTAAGTAATGACTTATGTGAAACTAATTTGATACGCTGCATTCAAAGAAGGGAACTTTTCTTGTGCAAGATATTGCATTTTTACTTTAAATTTTATATAAGTAATTATATTTCTTGGATAAACGAATTTCTTTTTCAGGACGCTTCACCATGCATTAGAAAGTATACTGAATGTGCTACCAGACAAAGGATGTCAGCAGTGCTTCATAACTCTACACGACCGTGACTCAAACAAAAACCAAACTTTGACTGATCATCTGAAGGAAAGTAGAGATGAAAACGCGACCGTAAATGAAGATAATGGTAAACAGTCGGAGGTCAGTTCGCAAGATTTCAACGACTTCTTGCAGCGTCTTGGTAAATTAGAACAGTCTATCTTAGAGAAAGTTGACGCCAGACTTGGTACGTCTTATTTTTAATATGACCGATTGTATAGAAATTTTAAATCTTGATGGCACTAAATTCCCATTTTGTTTTGGTTTGAATGAGGTAATATGTGTTTTTGAAACGCCAGTAAGTGAAGAGTCAGAAAAATAAACTAAGATGAGATATGCAAAAAAAAATACAATTGTATAATACATTATTCTAATATCTTATGAACTATTCTTTAACTTTCCATATTCAATAAAATTCTGTAAACATTGATAATTTTGTGACAGAAATTTTATCATCTGATATTGTCATCTAATATTGTGTACACTGGATTTAGGCAAACTTATAATGGTTATTTTAAATGCTTGATTATCCTGTTTTAGCATCGCATCCTTTGAAATTTATAAAAGGGGTAAAAGGGGAGCCCGGAATTCCAGGAATCCCGGGAATTCCAGGAATGAGGGGAGACCGAGGATATCCTGGAGTTAATGTATGTATTTTACATTTCATATTTAAAAGTTTTTTTAAATAGCATATTAACAAATTAAAAAAACACAATTCATCAAACGTATACATTTATTTGCGGCGTGTGCATATCTTATATTCAAGGTTAAATTTTATAGGTTCAGTATATTAAGCGTGAATATGGTACATAAAACCAAAAGTAGGGCATCCTTTATTTCAATATTGCAAAAGTCTGAGGACATCAGACCTCTCCACAGTGTTCAGACTGATTGCTGGTGGCATCCATTTTTGCGGATGATCCGTTTCAAAATACGACTTATCTTAAACGAAAAATTTACATCGAAGTGAACAAATCGGTACATAGAAAAATCGGAAAATATCATATTTGTTACTTATCGCTACGTGGATGTTTCCTTCCGTTTTAATCCTTTAAATTGTATAAATAGATTACCGTATTGTTTTCTGAATAGCGTTTTGCTATTTCATGTTTCGATTAATAGTAACAGTGAACATTACATATACAATATCACCATGCACTTTTATTATGACCGAGTGAACCGTGTACCGAAACTTTACTGCTCCTTAAACTTTTGAACCGGTATAACTAAATAACGCAACGGAGGATGGTGGCGCAATGGCACAAATTTTTATTCAAGATTTTCCTCAAATATTTTGGTTGGAGGCATGCAGCTTTAATATACTGTTTATTCCAATCAAATGATTTACACATTTTTTATGTAAATCTGGGACTTTAAATGGTCAAACTTTATGCTCGTTTTGGAAAATGTAGAGGAAATTTTTTTATATACTTACCAAAACATTAACCGAAAATGTGCTTATTGAATTTTATTAGAAACTTTTATTTTGATACTACTTTAAATATAGTTACATGTGTATATCATTTATTTTAAATTAAGTTTGATGAAATAACATAAATTGTTCTTTTTAGCAAACATATCCCTAATGCGCAAAGAAAATGTCAATTTCCCGGCATATAATCATTCAAAATTTAAAAAGTGAAGTGTAAAACAAACTTTCATTATGAAACTATATTCAATATATATAATACATTATATTTTGTTAAATAATTGTAAATTTATAACCATTCATTGAGTCTTTTATGCAAAAATATCAACAAATATTTTCGATTTAAACAAATCTTCCACAGTAGCAAAATACCACTCGCATGCTTCTTTTTAAAGAAGCAAACTTATTCAAGTGTGTGTAACTATAATTATAGTAAAGTAATGACATTTTACATAAAGAACAAAACGTAACAATTATTTTTTTGATAATCACGCGTAATTAACAGTCTACGATATATGGTCATTGAATATGAGTCTCAATCTATTTTAGACTGGGAAAATCCAATTTGGCCAGTGAATATGATGCTTCACCCAGTGAATATGATTGAATAAAAAGTTCTGTAGACTACTGTTTGGTCGAATGAGATTGCAGCTATATTTAGATCATATAATAAATAGCATTATTACACGCGTTATGTGCGGTATAAGAAAATAAATATGACTTCAGATATAAGTCAGGAAATCAAATAGCGTCAAAATTAAATTTTCCGTTTAACAAAGTTTAACTTTGTGAACAGTTTAATTAATTTTCTTTCTATGTGTATGTTGGAATAAAACTAGCACTCTGTGAGTCGGATGAGTCGCCTTGTGAACAGTATTGCTGTCCTTTAGGCATGTTCTTCTTTAATATAGGTAATTTTCAAACACCACTCTTACAATGCATATGAACCTTGAACTTTAGTGGCATTTGAACTGATGGCAACATTAAGTTACATTAGGATTGATGTAGCTTGAATAGCTTTTGTTGTGTAGGAGAAATGCCCTGGACAAAAATAAAGTAGTCAATAATAATTAACAGGACGAAAATAAAAGTCTAATAATTAACAATGGGCAATAACTATAAATCATGAAGTACATAGTACCGGTCCTTATGTACTGCTCTTCTTCTCAATAAGATCTATGTCTTACGAAGTTTCAAGTTCATTACTTTTATAGTTTAGGTAAAATGGCTGGGATAAATATAAAGTTTTATAATCAATGAAGGGCAATTACACTGAAATAATGAAGAACATAGTGCTGGTTTTTGTGCACTGCACTTCTCAATGAGATTTAAAGTTTCATGGCCATATATTTTTTTTAGTTTAGGAGAAATGTCCAGGCCATGAATTAAATATGAAAATTAACAAAGGGCAAAAACTCAACAAATAAGAGGTACAGAGTACCAGTTCTTGTGCACTGCATTTCTTTTCAATATGATCTATCATCCTTTGAAGTTTGAAGTCGAATTTTTTATAGTTTAGCAGAAATGGCCCGGAAAAAAAACTAAGCAAGAAAATTAACAAAGGCAATAACACAAAAATCATCAAATACAGAGTACGGGTTTCCAAACATTGCACTGTATATCATATGTCCGTAGCTTTCATAGTTAAGAAGAAATGGCCCCGACAAAAATAAAGTATGAACATTAACAAAGGGGAATAACTAAAAAATAAGAAGTTAAGAGTAATGGTTCTTATGCACGACACTTCTAATTAATGAGATCTATCATCCTATTTTGTTTCAAGTTCAAAGCTTTTATCGTTTGAAGACATTGCCCGTACAAAAATAAAGTATGGAAATTAATAAAGTTCAATAACTCAAAATTGAAAAGCGCAGAGTATTGCTTTGTTGACTGCACTAAGGGTCATTGAAAGAAGCATGCATACCAAGTTCATCCGACTTATAGTGACTGAGTTATGCTCCGGTCAAGCCTGACGGGAGACCACCGCCAACGTCGACAACATCGCCGACGCCGACACCGCCGACAAATGTAACCCTTATTCAAGGCGACACAAAATCTATACGTTCCATCCTTTGTGCATGTCTTATCAATTTATTGTAAATACCCACTAAGATTTTACAAATCTTCGGGATTATATAGCTTTGTAATGACAAACGCAATTTAATATAAAGTTCATATTTGTAATCCTAGGTAAACATATCAGGGTTTTCGCCTACATGTACACAAGGGGAAGCTTTGTGATGACAATGCGTACGTTTTCTGTTACTCGTCGTTATCCAAAATTCGTTAAAAGCACTAAGTTGATTTTTTTTAACTTCACAGATACCTGTAGGCATATAAATGGTTCAAGTCCCCATAGGAGTTCAAAATAAGACTCTTTAAAATACAACAATGCACAGTGCTGAGATATTAGGCGTATTTCTCTTCACTACAAAAGTTATATGAATGCAATCTGATCATAGGGATCCGGCTACCACCAGAAGGTTGTTACCTTTTCGATACCTTTCAAAAAGCCAATAATCGGCTAGCTTTTATAATTTCAAAAGCGATGCGGTTTCTTATTTTAACCGCTGGAAAACCAATACTTAGTACATGTTGGTTTTTTCACGATTTCGAGAACACACAAAGCGCTGTCCATATAACTGGTAGAAAAACTAGCAAAACAATCTGGCCCACTCCGTCTTTTTTTCTAACATAATTCAACAATTGACTTCCTTCCAAGGACAACGATATTCTAATGTTATATCTAATGGATATCTGTTTGTTTGCATGGCTAAAAAAGCTTTGTCGCGAAATCCAAATGACGAAACATACCCGGTGGTTGTCAAATCTACATGTAAGAATTATGTAGATCTGAACTTAAGTGAGTATGTATATAAACCTTGACCCTCGGGTCTGGGATTGTTTAGCAATGAAAACCATTAATCTTATAGTCTGTTACAGGAAAATCAGTTTGTGAAACTACTCTTTTCAAACTCAGATTTTAGTACAATTGCTAAAAGCACATTTAAAAAAATGCGAATATATGGGATCAAAGTATTGTTAGTAGACTTGTAGGTTTGAATAGTACTGCACCTTTTCAAAGTTCAAACAATACCGAAAGTCAATTGAACAGAAAATATCAAAGTCAAAAGTATACAATCAAGATAGATATAAGAATTTATTGTTGTAAGTAGCATACATAATATTTTCCTGTCAAATGTGAAAGAATAACTTATACTGTTCACTTTCTTTTGAGATTATAGCATACTAACAATTAATGATGATTAAACATTTATATTTGCATATAAAGGGATATTGCCAATAATAAATTTTCAAATGTGAAACTGCGGACATGTATAATTTCACAAAATAGTTGGTTAAAAATGGCACAACTTTGTGTTCCATCGATAAATAAACTTGACCCCAGGTTTTACATAACATACTTATATATGCCGAATACAAACACAATCATTAGAATACTTTAAAAGTAATCCTGCGGAAAGCAATTTCTACCAACAGATATACAGACGCTCTTACGGGACAGTACTTACTTATGTTGATACTCCACTGATCTCCCTATTGTTCTATTAGCCACCTTAACGCAAAACATACACCTAAAAGCTGGATAAGAGAGTACAGTTACTTATTGTTCACTACTTATAGTCACATAGGCACTCTCCTTTATTTTTACGAAACAGACAGACGGATAGACAGCGCCTGACTGTAATACGTCCCTATGTTTTCTTTGGGCGTATCAAAGTCATGTCCATCTTGTGAAATAATCCTGCTCTAGGGTCACTTAGTTAACAAAGTCATATATAGTAAACTTGATTAAAAATAGTTTTATCAGAAACAACAATCGCAGAAGTTAAAATAGTTGGCATGTAGTAATACCTTGAAGTCATTTATAAAAACATTTATTATAAACAAGTTCCTGCGGTCAACAAATGGCCGGTGTTTATAATTTATTTTAAATATTTAAATTGATTTTATAATTTTATCAACCAATATAGAACTCGAACTCTTTCCCTATGTACAAAGCTTTGAACAAATATACTTTACAGCATACAGAACTGCATTTTTATTTTCTCTTATTTTATATGTAGAATCAGCTTTACCAGTGCTCTAGAAATGCTCTGTGAATCATGCCGCTAGAGTATCATTGGCCCTGCCCCGTTCCTTATATAGTGTTTTAAAGGAAAACGCATTTAAATACGGTTGAAAACTATATTTCCTAACGGATCGTTGCAAATGATTTACAAATCATGCGGCTTTGTGGAAAAACGACCTGTCCAATGTGGTCTATTTACTTCTGTGTTGAAAAAGGCAACAATAGGGTTTGAGAAATTTACGGTCATCATGGCCCTGTTGGTTTTATGAAATTCTATAAAACACATAATATTTCCTTTTGTTTGGTGTGACAAGAATTTGAGAAATAGTTCACCTAAATACCTGTTCTTTAAACATATTTTGAATGGAAAAAAGATGGCAAATCGAATATTGTTATACAAATCCATGCATCCATATAAAACAGACTGAGATCACATGTAGACATATTAAAAAAAAGCTAAATATAAAAATTCGTATTCGATTATCACACGATAGTTTGTGTCTTCCATCCGTCCATTCGGGCCAGAGGACCATTTAGTCTGGTATAGCTGAAAGGGAATATTCTCCTTTTGAGCCTATGAAATATTTTGATAAATGGAAATTTGTGATATTTTTCTAATGCGGTCAAACAAATCTGATATGTTTACATACAAATATAAACTGGCAAATAAAAAAATGTGATAGTACTTGTATTAAATATATCATTTCATTTTTATGTTAAACATATCCTAATGTTTTACAGGTTGACTTATTTAGAATAACTACTAGTAGATCGTTTTGAAAAACCATTCATCTGTATTTTGAAAGTTTCATTTTTTATCAAATAGGGAGCATTTTGCCTGAAAGGAAATCGTGGACCACCTGGTATTACTGGAATTCCTGGACGAAAAGGAGAGCCGGGAGATACAAAAGTCGGTCATCTTGAATTCAACTGGAAAAAGTAAAACATCACCATGACTCCAACGAAATTTTAAATAACTTTTTTAATATGAGCTTTAAGTGTAATGTGTTTGTTAAATTTATTAAATCGTATGGATCAAATGGTAAACTATTGTTTTATTCAGGTTATTACGGTTTTGAATGTTGCCACATTTGATATAATAAACATCTTCGCTTAAGAGGAAAGGAAATTGTTAAGCAGTCCACATGATTTTCCCATTTAGATACATGTTGTTCACCGATTTATTCACTTTCATCCTGTCATTACATTTAATCAGATATTTACATTTTTAAGAACATGTATGTTATGTTTATTATTTTTTGAAAGGTTTGAATTGATGGTTGATGGTTCGGGTTATTTCCGACGATAATTTTGCGACTTATCACATTCTGACCGTTAGAATTGTTTTGTTATTCATTTAAAGACCATCTTAAACACATGAAAAAACTATCATTTATTCTTATATTAAACGTTTATGAAATGGTACAGGACCTTGAAATAAACACTACTTCATCACGCTATTGAGTTATATTATTGTGTATACAATCTGTATTCTTGTATTTTACATAATCGGATAATCGATTAAACTGGCAAAATATATGCTACCAGCCACCAGACTGACAGTCAGCAAAGATTTCAGAACAAATTATCGTGCCAGGTACAATGTGTTTGACGATACAGTGCATGTGTCAAAGCATACAAAAATACAAATCAAATGTTATTACTCACTATAGTTCCTTATTCGTGGAGTGCTTTTTAACATGATAAAACATTTGAAAAATAGAAAGAAAATCAAGTACATATCATTAAATGTTTGACTTAATGTTCTGTCTAAAAACAGGATGTTGCAATCTTTATTACAATGAATATAGCACAATAAAAGGTCGACAACTTTATAAAATTCCATTAGTGACAACTAAACAAAGAAAGAGTTTTATTGTTGACTCGAGGAACAATAAGAGTATTTAGAAATAAAGATGTTCCTTTTGAATTCAAATAAAACAAATCAATATGATGACCGTTGATACTTTCAGAATTTACCAAATCAAAATAATTGACATTAATTTACATTTTTTGTTTGGTTTAATAATTAACTTACCCTTCCTATAAATTATAAAAGTGTTCTGATGTCAGGATTCGTAAAATTTGATATTAACATGGACCAACAAAAGTGTTTGCTTAGTTTAATAGATGTAGTTATATAAATTCATAATTGACAACATATCTAAGAACTTTGTCATTTCTTTAAAATCTCAACCATTGTCAGGGGTTAAATTAATTCAAAATTGTTTAATTTCATTTTTTGTTTGGTTTTAGGTCGCACAAACACTGTAAAAGTTGTTTTACAGACTTTCCTGGCGGGGAAAGTGGGGGAAGTACCTCACGTACAAGGCGAAGTTGGGAACTTGAGTCATGAGGAGAACCACCGATATACAGTGAGCTAGCTGGATAGCGTCTAAATAATTAAATAAATTAAAGTTTCTAAGTATTTTCAGCTTTCGAACTGCTAGCGGTGAGGGGCAAGTGGCTTGAACTCTTAACCACATTTAACTGAAAGCCGTTTTCCCTTCTAAAATAAATTCCAAGGTAAAAGATTTACATGTGAAATGTTGAGCAAAATATGTGCAGTGACTTTAGAAACTCTTTCGCCGTCTTAATGTCTGCCAGATCAATCCGATTCATAGAAACATTTGCATACAAGACACATTAGTCGCTAACACACATTGTACAATTTATTCCCTTACAAGACAGGAAAACCCACATGGACCATTGTATCATGTTTTCAGTCCCACCAACAGTACAATTTATCTTCATACAAGACACACAAATATGTCAAATGTAAAAAGGTTTACAGATTAATTAGAAAACAGGTTATTGATGAACTTAGTTAAGTAAGACTCTAAAATTATTGTTACAAAATCACTTTAAACAACTAAAACAAGAAACCAGACCGTTCTACTTTAAAACTTACACGCGTCAACCTGATTCTGCATTTGTCCGTTTTCTCGGAGACCTGCTTGGGTTATTTTTAATAAGGGGATATTTTACAGAATATACGTGGGCTATTTTAAACGAGAGGATATTTTACAGATAATATGGTTTGATAAAATACTTCTTTAGACATTTAATCGGAAATGTATAGATTTTTAAAAAAAAAACAGCATGGCTTACTTATTGTTCCAAAATTAATTCGAAGATTGTGACTTTAATTTATAGATTACGATGATTCAAGAATTTTGTTTCGAAAATGAACTTGGAATATCACATCCACGGGGGGTTTAAATATTTTACAGTAGATTGAATTTACCTTAATTCTTAATATGAATTCCCCATGACCATCTGATTTCTTATTATTTCCAACTTCATCTTGAAAATATACTAATTAAAATAAAGAACGTCGTGAATATCATGTTATAAAGGAAAAAAAAATGTAAATATAAGATCAAAAGTTTATCTTTTCTTCAATGTAATATATTATTTAGAATAGAAAATTTACTTACTAAGTCAAGTTTTACATTCACAAAAGATGAAGAAAATATTACCATTGATGTCATATACAACCACTTTTCCACCATGTTCAACTGAAATGTTAAATGCAAAAAGAACGTTAGAACATGTAATAATCTCATTGTTCTTTAGTAAACAATACGGTGTTCCGTTTGGAAAATCGTGATTTTTGATTTCGTCCTTACCCGCGATGCACGATGGTAAAATGCGATGGTACGACGACACGATGATGAAAACACGATGGTACGATGGTGAAAACACGATGTTATGATGATAAAATCGCAATGTCGCGAAGGTACGATGGTGAAAACGCGATGTTATACCGCGTTTTCAACATGATACCACCGTGTTTTCACCATGGTACCATCGCGTTTTCAACATCGTGCCATCGCGTTTTCACCATTATACCATCGTGTTTTCACCATGGTACCATCGCGTTTTTAAAATCGTGCCATCGCGTTTTTACCATCATACCATCGCGTTTACACCATCGTACAATCGAGTTTTCACCATCGCGCCTTCGAACCATCGCCTTTCGGTCAGTATGACCAGTGCACATACAGAATACAAATACATGTTTGCATTTTTTTTTGCTGTTTATCAACTTGAAACTTCATATGTACAGTGCATAGGATCACAACTTTCTTTTTTAATTTTGGAGCGATTGCCTTTAGTTATTTTTCATGTTTTTAATACTAAGATCTCAAAGATAGGAAAATAGAAAGGGTGCGGGGTTTCATAATGAGAAGGCAAACATTTTAAATAGAAATGTATTATTGCGCATGTCCACCGGAAGGCGATGACACGATCGTGAAATCACGATGGTACGATGGTGAAAGCGCGATGGCACGATGTTGAAAACGCGATGGTACGATGGTGAAAACGCGATGGTAAGGAGGCAAAAACGTGATGTCACGATGGTGAAAACACGATGGAACGGTGGTGAAAACGCGATGATACGATCGTGAAAACGCGATGGCACGATGCTGAAAACGCGATGGTACGATGATGAAAACACCATGGCGCGATCGTACGATGGTGAAAACTCGATGGTACGATGGTGAACTCGTGATGGTACGATGGTGAAAACGCGATGGTGAGAAGGCAAAAACGTGATGTCACGATGATGAAAACTCGATGGCACTGTGGTGAAAAGGCGATGATACGATGGTGGAAACGCGATGGCACGATGGTGAAAACGCGATCATACGATGGTGAAAACACTATGGCGTGATTGTGCGATGGTGAAAACTCGATGGTACGATGGTGAACTCGTGATGGTACGATGGTGAAAACGCGAAATAACATCGCGTTTTCACCATCGCGCTTTCGCGATTTCACCATCGTACCATCGCGTTTTCACTATGGTACGTACCATTGTGCACCGCGAGTAACGACAAAATAAAAGATCACGATTGTCCAAATGGAACACCGTAGAACAAAAATAGTTTTCAAAAGTATGTTTAAAGTTGGTTTGATTCGTCATTTGTTCGAAAGATACTACAAATATAATTTAAGTTTAAAAAAGATGGTGTACACTCACATCGATACGCTTGTGACATACTTATCGGATTATCATGATTATGCAATCCTTAAACGGAGAACAAGAATAAAACACAAATCATATAAGCTTGAAACAGAAAGAGACGAGTTGCGATCAAATTTATGCCAGTTTGAAACAAAATTACTAAAGATGATCTAAATCATTAGAAAGTGACAGAGTGCAAAATTAATTCAGAAAAATGACACCTTGGTCGAGTACATGCTTGTAATTACCACTACCGTCCATGAACTGGCTCAATTAAAGTGAGCAATAGTTTTAATTTTGCTGTGTTCGGGTTTTGAGGCGATTATTGTTTACTCTTTTTTGAAGTGGAAAATGACAATTTTATTCGAATTATTTGAACTTGAAACAAAATACATCATTATGTATGGAAAATTTGATTCAATTTGGCGAGTGTTAAACAAACAACAGCACCGTATAAGGTAAAAAGACTGCTGTCAATGAAAACTACTATATATTACCAATTTTTAATATTTTAATTATAAAAAGGCATTACCTCTAAATGTGTCGGTTTCAGGATGATGATCTTTGTCTTATAGCTGTGCCTTATAACAATTATCAAGAATTACAAGTTTCAAGTTTTGAAATCATCCAACTTATAATCAGTCATTTTAACAAAAATGCTAAATAAAAAGGTGCAAAACTCCAAATAAAAAACTTTCAGAACAATTACCATTGTCTGACACTAATTGTTTACACTGATTGTTATTATTGCGATGTGTCTAAATTAAGTATTCAAACTTTCAATTTGATACCGAATAATGGGCTACAATAAAGTTTTCGCACGTCGACAACGATACCGCAACAAGCATAATAGCCCGACTTTTTCTTTGCCACAGAGAAGCTGTAAATGACAAAAAAACTATAATAAAAATTGAATCGGAAAGTAACCAATCATTTTGCAAGCGTAAATGTAAGTTTTGCCTTGGGGA